ACTCAACACGCTTGATCACATCTTCTAGAAACGAAAAAAGTAAGGAATGAAGATGACAGAGCAGGTACATTCCACACGCTCAACATGCGAGCGAAGAAAGCCTACAATTTTGCTCTCCCAAGGAGTGTGCCTTTCCCTCTGAGCTGTTCATCCTCCAGGCAAAGGTGGATTTGCGAGCACAATGTCTCTCAAGGGTAAGTTTTCAAAGAATTCGGTGGTCGGAAGATCACATTTTCCCGATCTAATGGTTATGACACTCATGCTTTACGAGTCTAAACCAAGATAAACTTATAGCCATATCTAATGCTAGGCACAACAAAAAATCTAGCGAAAAAAAACAGGGCGCTACCAGGGTGGGCTTAGGCACATATACCCAACCTATTTCCCCGATTTGAAAGCAACAAAAAATACGTACCTGCTACATTCACCGCCATGTCGGTTATGTTATCACTGTTACCACTTTTGCCAACAATGTCAGCCAACTCCAGTATTAATCTGGCTGCTTTTTCTATGGTAGCTAACTCAAAGCGGTTCTGAAATGTTCAGAATGGGTTGATATGGCTGGAAGTAACGACAAATCCACGTACCTGAGCTTCCTCCATAAAATCGTGGCATCTTCTCAGCAGAGCTTCTGGATCATTGAGTGGATTCGCAGCCAAAAACATAACAGTTTGATGCAAAAGAATAGTTATCATGAGAAGATGCTGAGCACACAACAAAACAATAGCCCCTGATACGTACTAATAGCTATAAAAATAAACCACATGGAGCGGGAAGCTGAATGTTATTTGAGAGAATACTGGACTACAAAAGTCCCTTACAGGCTAAATGGGAGGATGAAGAGATGGGCAGAAGCTCCCCACCACTGTACCTTCCCCAGTGGTATATTCCTTACAAGTCTAGTCAAAGAGGTAGCTGAAGGGGTGACCTAATGAAGGATGAACTACGCTTGTAAGTCGATCGATTATCGCGGAACACGCCTCCGTAGGGTTTCAAGACAAATTGTACACACACTCGAAGGCAGTCCTCGCAGTCAGCAATACAAAACATCCGCAATGCAGTACGTGCCATTTTCTCCTCTTAGAACGTGCCCGGGAACGGGGCTGTAGGGTAATGTACCGGAGCGCCCTCTCCATACTCCATCCGCGCTATCCTCAAGGTGCACCTCGTGTCTACGTCAAGGTTTCACAGTGAGACCTGCACTCAGCGGCAGAGAACAACCAAGAGATAGAGAGAGAAACAG